GTATTTATTATCACAGATAAGATACAGCTACGACGCACTGTAGGAAAGTATTTATTATCACAGATAAGATACAGCTACGACGCACTGTAGGAAAGTATTTATTAGCAATTACTAGAAAAAATAATCGCGCTCCACTGCGAGGTTCAAAGCCCCCACCCCTCCTTCATGATTCACAGAGACCCCATCGTACGATGAAGCACCTCCATTATTCACATGAACTTCTATAGCTAGCCCAAGGGGGATTCGTTCCCGAAAAAACCACAACATTAGAACACTCATCTGTGACACCTGAGCACGTGTGCCAAGTTTGGTTCCGCAAGCTTGTGTGTAGAGTGTATGAATACAGAGATCCCGAGGTGGACCAGGAATACAAAATTCTATATCCGATTCGGACTCATCTACCCTGAATATCTACTGCTACACCCTAATCATGCCTAGCTGACCTTCCGGGGGCATTTTAGCCTCCATTGGTAATGCGATTACGCCATATAGATAAGGACAATCCTCCCGGGCCAACCTGTGTCCGCCTGCCAAGTTTTGTCTAGCTAACTCCAAAATTATGTGAGAATATACTGAACATACACACATACATTATTTTGGCTCAGAATTGAGTAAGGATATACATTTAGTGGATGAATGTTTTTGTTACATTATTTATGGGTCAAAGTTTATTATTTTTTTCTATTTTAATTTATATATTTTGAAATTTTACAAGGCTTAACTTTGTTCTTAACCAAGTTCTTACAGATTTATTAAAATTATATGTGTTAGAGATTACATGTTTGCTTAGAAACAGAGTTTACACCGGATAAGTGTGTCTGTTTTTACACTACTGTTCAAAAATGGCTTTGCTTGTTTCAGTCATTTTTGACATTCGTATTCTGCCAAGAATAATTATACTTAAACTGTAAGAGCTTACTCAGTGCAAAAAGTACAACTTATTTTTTGCTCTTACTGAAACAATACACTACATTCTTTCAATGGACATTTTGAATTGGTATAAATCTACTATCTATCATAAAAAATCTGATAATTACATTTCATTATCTCTTTTCCTAAAATAGATTTATAATCTTATAGCTTGTTCGTTGGTTTGTTGAATTTCGCGCAAAGCTACCCGAGAGTTAAATGCGTTAGCCCTCCCTAACTTAGAAGTAATAGACTAAAGGGAAGACAGCTAGTCAACACCATCACGCTTATCTTTTGGGCTACTCTTTACAAACAAAAAAAGTGAAATTGATGAGATTATAATGCTCCCATGGTCGAAAGGGTAAGCATGTTCGGTGACGGGATTCGAATCCACGACCCGCACGTTGCGAATCGAGCACTATAACCATGAGGCCTTAATCTCATTCCAACTTTTAACATTTTTAATAGTTACGTTTATTTTTCTCGGTCACAATTAATTTTCCTTTACTAAAACTTAAAATCTTGAACAGTGGCTCAGCGGTAAATTTCTGGACATATAATGCTGAAAATCTCGAGTTTCGATACCCTTGGTGGGCATATTACACATAGCCTATTGTGTAGCATTGTGCTTAAAACAAACAAATATAAAATCATACATTAACTAAAGGAAATAATCATTACCAAATGATGTTCTTTGTGTTTCTCATGTTGTAAAATGCTGCTTTTAAAACAGAAAACAACAGTACAGTCTGCTATTTTGAATGGCTATAACACAAGTTATAGTTAGAAAACACATTAGCAATGGACTAACAAAACAAAACACAAGCATGTTGGCTAATGCACAATTTTTGTGTTGTTTTTATACAATCTATAAACTGTTAATAATATTGGTAAGTTGTACGTCAAGGCATTTAATAATATAAATTATAAGTCAAACACTGCATAAAAACAATATTTTAAAAATTACCTCCGATGAAGAGTGATTAGTTTCAACCTTGCTACACCGGAATTATTCAAACTGTAATTAATTGTAGAAATGTGGTTTTAACACAACTTAAATAAACACAAGGTTGAGCTGAAAACCACACGTCATTTGTGTTATTGAAAGAACTTGTATGTTTATATATCGCTACAACAATCACTTGTGGTATAGTTCATACAAAACTATGTTTTGGGAACACAATATTAACACGCATTATTTTTATACTGTACCTTTTTGATTTTAGATTGGAGATTTTGGATTGTCCAATATTTTCAGTAAACAATATTTACTGAACACTTTCTGTGGCAGTCCACTCTATGCATCTCCTGAAATTGTCAAAGGAACCCCGTACCATGGGCCAGAGGTAAGTTTGCAGTTATTATATTTCTATTGTAAATTGTTTGAACTAATTTTTAATAAACCCTTGTTTATACTTGTATTTGCTCTATGTTATAAAAGCCACCGGTATATCAAAGATAAGCTAGAAGGCATATAACACTCTAAATTTGAGATTTTTTCCCTGCGGTTGGCATAAAGCAGATATTTACTTCAAAATAAACCCATGATTTAAAAATTCCCTGTCACGGACTCCAGGCGAGATGTACCCATATACACATTGCACGATATACTGTAGAAAGGGCTGTTAAACGTTTTGTTTTCAGTATAATATTATAGTGCAATATTAATTACTGTTTTTATATTAAAAATGAATAAGTTATGTTTAAAATCATTTCCAGATTGAATCACAGAGTTTGTTAAAAGTTGCATGCGAAAGTAGTTTTAAAATATGTTTACATTAATATCATGGTTATGTTACATAGTTTGTTTATGATGTTCACCGAGAAGAAATGCAATTTCTTCAGATGTACAAAGGGAGCAGTATGTTATATTAAAATGATTTTTAACATACAAATAGGCAAGTCATGAGACACCCACAACCGGACTAAAGCTGCGGTAAAACAGAACGAATGAGAACTATATTTTAACATTGTTAAAAGTAAGTAACATTGTAAGTAGTGCGATCGCTTTTGTGTTCAATTCTGGGACTTATTATTTCTAAGACTTGTATTTTGCATTGGAAAACAAAGGAATGTGGCTCACCTTGTGGCATCAGGACTATTCAGAAACAGACCTGCAGGCATGGTACGGTGTCTTGTAACAAACACAGAGGTCAGTGATAATAGCCGTCCACGTGCCCCAAGCAACACAAGTCACTTGTACATAAATTGTTTACTTCAATCAGCTAGAAAATGAAATGGGTATTGATGCCATTCCATACGAAAACATACTGGTCAAGACTTTTGTGTGATCGCTGGGAAGCCGTTGTTCCCATACACAAGTCACTTGTACATAAATTGTTTACTTCAATCAGCTAGAAAATGAAATGGGTATTGATGCCATTCCATACGAAAACATACTGGTCAAGATTTCTGTGTGATCGCTGGGAAGCCGTTGTTCCCTTACACTAAATAGATTACAGAAACCATGCAGAGAGTATTGGTGTGCTTTGGACATGACAGCCTTACAACGCTGCATGGAAATACGACAATCTCATAGCATATGACCATCGGTGGCAAGATAGGCTATATAACGCTGTGATGAAGCTCCAAATTTGTTTTAATATAACATATTCAACCTCTGTAAAGTGCGTTTACAGTGAATTTCAGAATAAAATATTGAATTTATGCATTAATGTTAACTACCAAATAGATCAAGCTACTTACTTAAATACAAACTAAAAATCATCTGGTAATGAGTATTGTAATTAAATATATTTCCTTACTTTCTTGCCAATAAAAGACTAGAAACCACTGTTTCACCAGTTATGTAGCCTCGCTGTTAGCGATATTTTCGGCTCTCAAGGTTTGGCCAGCTTAGGAGATTTAGGTAAACACTAAATATTTATACTTAGATAACAATGCAAAACAGTCTCTGTAGTATTTCTCTCAGACGTTGTTATAATAGATAAACAAATCAGCATAATGAAACTAGATATGTAAACATTCTAACATTTACTGTTAATGAAAGTATCATTAAAAAAATAATAGAACTTACCTTAGTTACGGAACTCCCAAACGCTAGTTGTTAGCTTCAACTATTGTCATAGATTTAATGTTCTTTGATAACATCAGTATAATCGTGTATAAGGAAAATTTTCTACAATCTTCCGTAAAAATGTGTTTGACCAATAGAAACCCATTTTAGTTCATTTAGAATGGCCCCCAAGTGGCACAGACTTACAACGCTAGAAACGGGTTTCGATGCCCGTGGTGGGCACAGCACAGATAGCTCTTTGTGTAGCTTTGTGCTTAAACTACAAACAAAATTCATTTAGAATGATGTTTGGAACGAATAATAGTGTTTGTTTACAGAATAGTGTCCATAGTGTTTATGAAGAACGACGACCAGAATAAGTTACAATTTTTTATGTGATTTCTAGAATGAGTAATATCGTTTCTTTATAATGACGCCCTGATTATCTTACATGGTTTTTTTCAGAGTGATGACCAGAATAAATTACAATAACTCATATCTTTCAGGTGGACTGTTGGAGTCTGGGTGTTCTGTTATACACATTAGTATACGGAGCTATGCCTTTTGATGGTGGTAATTTCAAACACCTTGTTCGACAGATTTGTGAAGGTGATTATCATGAACCCAAAAAGAGATCTGGTATGTACTTTTCAGCTAAAGTAATCTCTTCTGTAACACAGTAAACCATGAGTACTATGTTATCCAATTATTTATATAATAATTATTAATAGCCAGCAGTTTGTTTTCATGGAATAGTTAGTTTAAGACAAATATATTTATCAATAAAACAATCAAATATTATCACATTAACAGCATAAAATTGTTAGTCCAGTACCAATGCAGTTTCAGTCAAACCTATTTTCAGAAGTTAATGCTACAAAGAGAAAGTGACGGTGTGATTTTATTCCGTTCTTGGTTTTCTTGTGAATTATGACATTGACTACTTCATTTGATTATAGAAAATGTCGATAAATCAATACTATAATAACAGCACAGTTTTATATAACTGTTCATATTAGGATAAATAACAAAGAAGATATCACCAGTGTTTTCCAAGAAAATGAAAAAACAACTCATATAATACAATGTTTATCTGAAACAACAGAACCCTCTAACCATACAAGACACTGGTAGGAAGTTGAGATGTATTAGCAATATAACAAGCCTCCAGCCTCCTGGATGTTTTCAAGAAAGATAGCCATCGAAATTGAAGCATAACAATCTCATTCCACCGCCTACCTATCAACTCCTATGATAAAGCTCCAATGGATTTTTTGTGCTTTTGGTCTGCTTAAACTTGATCTTGGAAATTGATATCCACTCACAGTAAAAGGTCTAAAACAATTTGTCAAGATGCACAGTCGAATATTGATTTCACCTTGTTTTGTATTTCCAACCCAAAACTAAAATGTAAACAAAAATGCATTTTCTGGTGCTTTATGTTGTTCTCACCGTGTTCAAAATAAATCATTGTTCCAGAGTGAAAAAATAGATACATTATATGCAAGAAACAACAATCCCAATCTTCTCGAGTGAGGCGCTAATCATGTGATTGGCGGTCTTTCTCACTCTTAATCAAGGATCTTGTATTCCTGGGGTATTACCTGACTTATAAATGGAAAATATCACTGTCTACAGCATTCTATCCCATGAGAAAGTGCACGTGACGTACTAATTGGCTGACCTAGTTCGATAACTAGCTGGAACAAGAGGATCTCATTGGCTTCCTTTACCGACTAGCTATGTTAAGAAAGCTTATAATGTGTAAATAAATTCGTATATTAAGTAAGTGTTACGAAACACACTTGCAGACCACACTTCTCCTCTCTTCTTTCTTTTCAGGCCAACTATAACTTTAAATCTTAAAAAAATAAATATCTTGTGTATCAGTCAAGACATTTTGTGTAATCTACTTTTACCTGCAAAAAACTTGTCCAATAATACAAAGAAATATAACGGAAAAATACAACTTTAAGTAATACAAAATATTACACATTAAAACAGAAAATTATACAAACTTATTAATATATAATACAGTGGCATAACATCATCAAAATTAAATTAACTCTTTATCATTACACAAAAGTATAAAAAATGAAAATAAAACATGCTCAAAAGTAAAAAGCATAGCATAAAAATATTTACACAAAAATATATGCAGAACCACTACATAAAAAGCAAATAGAGACTACAAAATACAATAACAAGTTTTTATAAAATACATATAAGAAACAATAAAAAGAAAGGTAAACTGAAACACACTCAAAAGTACAAAATAAATACATATTAAAACTGAAAACAACATAAACCCATTGAAAGGTACTACCATAAAATTATGAAATTACATAAACCATAAATTAAATCATACATAGATATACAAGCACTAAATAAAAGCAAAAACCCTTTATAAATACTACAAGAAAACCACACCAGTTAAATAACTAAAATATACAATACAAAAACACCTACAAAATATCTATAATTGGGTTCGTGCATATACGCAATAAAGCTAATCGAAAAGAAAACCAATGAATAATGATAAAAAATGTAAAATGTATGTACAAGAAATTCATACTTAATCTAAATATAAAAAGGTAGAGAAATAATAAATAAATACACGTATATCGCAGCAAGAGAAACCAGAGCATCTTACCTTTACTGGAGCTCTGGTAGCAGATTCATCAACACAGCAGTCGAACTTGATTGAAACATGGTTGTCTAACTTATAATCTCTCAAGCTTTCACAAAATCCTTCTGAGACTGCACCAAATTCAGCTAGAAAAAAGGTACTTCTTCCTCCAACTGCAAAGGAGGATCCTTACACTTCATGAGATGGTCTTCCTGCTATTTCCTCTTTACAATGCCAAATTAATGCTGAAGCGTACGTGATTCTTTGATTACGTTTGGGGGCATTTTTGGCAGATCTACCTTCCCTGGCTTAACAGGTTGTGTTCTGGACTTCTTGGTAGATGGAGGAGTATGACAGTTTCCAAACTGATATCCAACATTATGGAAGCTCTCTCAGCAAATGATTGGGTTATCATTACCTGATGAGTGGTCTTTGCTGTAGTTTAACTTTCCCAACACTTGAAAGACCTCTGTGATGATCTATGTTCTGGGAAGATTTCTTTAAGATATGATGTTTACAGAACAGGTAGATGCATATTGGGTATCAGTAACGTTTATCTACCTGACAACCACCGATAGGACAATTATGAAGTCTTATGGGTTTGGCTGGCACTGACTTGACGAGGGTCGATGTAGGCTTTATACTAGGTCTCCTCAAGTGATATGCTGGGCCATATTGTGGTAGGGTCACTGGTTAGTAGCACAATCCATACGAATCTTTTGTTCCTTGGTGCTGTGGTCACAATCTGGTCCCTCGTAGTCTGAGATGTTAGTTCCCTTGAAAAAATCAGGACCAATCTGTTCATGCCTTAAGTCATAGCCCACATTTCTTATGAGTCAAAAAGTAACTTGGCTTCATCCATTGGTTCTGACTCTATCTGGTCGAATGTCAGGTCAGCCTTTAAAATCTTATGGACTACAGTGTAATTGAAGACTTGTGCAAAGTCTTCAAACAGGTAGCTTTCTACATACATTTGAATAAGTTTGGGTTTGGCAACAAGACTGAAAATCACATCTAATGGCTATCTGAGAAAAAGAAAACCAGAATGGTAGGAGCTTCAACTTAAATATAAAAGTAATGACAGATATATATAGTCAACCAAACTCTGATTGGTCCATTGTTTTATTAAAAGTGTGGGATAAAATTGTAAGGGCCTAGTTACAACAATCTACATCCCAAAATTTCCTTTAGAAACATAGTTTAAAACTATTTCTATAGTTAAGTAATATTTCTTCAGGTTTATGTGTACCTACCTGTATATTGCCTTCAGGGTATGTATCTTCTTCTGCCTGCAGACGCCTCAGTCCCCCGGCTTCATCAGGTTGGGTACTACTGTGTTACCAGTGCCATGACAATAGTTCACAACTACCTTGAAAGTCAGCCACATTATTTTCACTACTCTCTCAAACAGAGCCCTGAGTCCAATAGGGAAGAGCTCCAAACTCTCCTACACAAAAACCCAAACTAGGCCAGCCATTGCATGAGCACTAACTTCAATCTTCTGATAATATAAATTTATTAGCACCACCACCTTTCAGACTGCCTTAGATACAAGTTTACTATAGCTCAAGTCAATTACATAGCAATATCACATGATTGTTACTTCTGGCATCTAACTATATTCACACAGCCTATACTTTAATGCATTGTAGCTGCAATTTATACTGAAATTATATTAAGAAAATATTCTATAAAACTATGTACTTATGAAAATATTTCATTCTGCGTGATTGAATTTATCATAACCAAATAAAATACTGGCTGCACTAAATTTACCTTTGGTATGATACATAAGGTACTCTTTGTGAACTTCACTACCTACAGCTAATTTCACGAACTTTTCAGTTTGATCCAAGAACTCAAGATTGAACTGTGTTTACTTCCCAGTATAATGTAGCCATTGCTTTTTCACCCCCATGAAAGTCCACTGTCTGAAAACCATATCAATGTAACAGCTGTAATATCCTCTCACAAGCATTACTGAAAATATCCAGTATATTGTGATTTTAAATAATACTTTACAAGCCAATAATCACAATTAACTCCATACCTCAAAGTCTTAACATGTAGATCGATTCCTTTATTTTTATTCGTATTTTGTGTAATAGTTATGTTCTCAGTGATTGATTCGTTTGTGTTATGCAACACTTTTTAATTACTTTGTGTAATGTTTCATACACACGTGTGCAACATCACACAGATATTTATTCATACATATATAATAGCATATACATATATCTCATTGTCACGTACACCAGAAGGTGTAGATAGACTACCTTTGGCTCACATGTTATTAACATTGTAGCCTAGAGTGCCATAATAAGTTGGCTCAAAGATGTCAGCATAACTCTTTTTCTCAGCATGCAAAATTAATCATCACCAGCAGAATTCAGCCAAACGTATACTTTCCAGCTAAAATACATTTTGCCAGAATTAGTATTTACCTTATTACTATGGCATATGTCAGTACAAACTCAGACCAACTTAGGCTAAACTCAATAGTTCACAGTAAAAATACTTTCACTTTTTTCATATGTCCACCCAAACCAGTAGCCAAACTAATAAAGTATTGTATCACCATGTGCAACTCAATCCATTCATCTTAGTTGGCTTCACAGAAAAATAACTAGAAGAAAGTTCAGTGAAAATAAACTATTCCACTTAAAGCCATGGCAACCTGATTTACATTCTATGTTGAGAAAGAACACCCTCCCTCACTGCAAATGGATGAGTTATATTTACTTCAAGTGTACTGTGGATGAGTCCAGTGAATTTTGTGTGGCTTGCTCCACTGAAATTTTCTTTCTACTCAGCTAAAGAGGATTGGATACTTTCAAAGAATATCAGCTGACATTTTGCTTTGTAACGTTGCTCAGTAGCTCTAGTGAGGAATTGTACATTCTATAGGGGGTAATATTTCCAAACCAAACATGACTGTGTTTGGAGAACACGTAGTCAATCCTTATTTTATTGCTTGGTACACATCCAGTTGATAGTTTGTATTACCCAC